AAGTGGTTAGCTCTAATGTGTAACATGAAGACCAAAGGAAAACTTGATTCAGTTATTACTTCTAGCTAATCTGAATGTAAGGTTTTGGCAGATAAGATTCTGAGGCAATCCCATCTCAGGTTTCCAATTTCATATAGAAGTAAATCTTCTGAATGCATAAGTCCTACCAATTTTTCTTGGTGTGTTTTTAAAAAATTCTACCTCTAAGATAATACTACCTCTTAGAAGTTCTTAGGAACTTTCTCCTATGCTATTCCTAATAATATTACTACTGATCAATTTTATGTATCATTATGCTTTTTCAAAAATTTTGAATTACTTGATCCATGCAATATCTCTGTTAAGATATAAATAGCCTAAGTACAACCCATTCTCCCATTTCACAGATGCATAAAAGAAGCCACAGATGGGACAAATGAATTGCCCCAAATAACACATTTAGCTTACGGCAAACTCAAAACTAATTCAAGTGAGGAGTTTGAGTGACTGGTAGAATAATTGTTCCAATTCACCAAAAAGTCAACCTAAATTATGCTGATGTTAGTAGCAAAGGCCAATGTGGTAATTAAATCTTAATTGTTACACTGATTTTAAAGATAATATAAGTTCTCTAGCTGATTCTTTTCATGATGGTATCCTAAAATATTAATTATCAATTAAATTATAATTCACTTAAGGGACATTTAATTGCCTGATAAATACGAAGCACTTTTCTGGATGCTTAGGATAGATTTATCAATAAAGCAAGCAATAAAACAGGAAAAAAAAATCCTTGACTTCATAGATACTACATTTATCTCAGAGAAAAATAAGTAAATGACATAGTGATGTTAAATAACAAATATTATATATTAAAAGGTAAATGGTTAAGGGAAAAGAAAAAAATGCATCAGAGTAAAAGGGATAAGGCAGTGGGCAGACTTTTGTGTGTGTTAGGTTGGTCATGGTGGGCATCCTTGAAAAGGGGAGATAACAGTGGACGTCCCACAGAAGTAGAAATGGCCAGAGAAAAGCTCCAGAGAGCATCCTGGTTTGTTTAAAGAGCAGGAAGGAAAGCCAGTGTGACTGAAGCAGTGTTAGCAAGCCTAAAGTTGTATGAGATAAGGTTAAAAAAAATGGCAGAAAGATCATGTTGGGCCTTGGAGGCTACCAAAGAAATCATCTCCAAATGAATATAGCTGCATTACAGGATTTTGAGCAGACAAGTGGTGTGATCTGACTTAAATTTTTAAAAGGAATTATTATGAATCATTAAATACCTCAAACTTTTATAACCTAATACATTATATAACCTTTGTCATATATCTGAATCCCAATATACTCTCCTCCTCTCAGAATAAAATATTATTATTCCTATCTTCCCAAAGAAAATATCAAGTCTCAGAACGTCTAAGTAACTTCTCTAGGGTAAGATCCAGTAAGTAAGTAATGGAGTCAGGTGAAAAGAACAATTTTTCTAACTTATAATTAAAAACTCCTCCCTCTTTTCTAAGTACTGGTAAATTAAAATAACAAATGAGATTAGTCATCTAGATTATCCATCAACAGAGATATTCATTTCAATGTATTAAAAATGTACAGAACTTAAAACCATTTTCCCTTGTTGTAAATTTCTGAAATAAAATGATAAAGGTGATTTCCCTGAACATTAAGCTTAAGAATGTTGGATGCAAAAAAAAGTGCTCATGTTAATTTAAGTTTGCAACAATACGTATGAAAATAATTTCAAAGCCTATTAGATGTCACTTATTGACTATTAGATGCCAGTTATTGTGCTAAATTTTTTACATATGTCATCATGTTTAACATTATCCAAAGAATGGTAATTCAAATAACAAAAGTGCATCCAGAGAGTTCAAGTTACACAACTTAAAGTTGATACTACTGCTGGGGTTTTACCTAAGTCTCCATAGGATAAAGTTAGTTTCTCTCACTAAGCTATACTGTCATATGTTATTCAACATATCACCACAACATTTTTAACTAGAAGGTCAGCAAAATATGAGTAGTCCCATTTTCCAGATGATTAACTGATTATATAAAAGTTAATCAAGCAATCAACATTTATTTTATAGTTACAATATGCAAATCAATATTTAGTTGCTGAAATCACAGAGAATTTATGATACAGTATATTGTCTCAATGAGCTTACAATCTTATTATGGTGTCAAGAGACATATAAAGATGTAATAAATAATACAAGATAACATAGAATAAGTCCCCAATGAGATATAGAGCCAAAAACTGCTAAAGAAATTCAACAGAGAGAAAATTGAATCTGGATGCTACAATTCAGTAAAGAAAGATCTTTATCAAAGAGGACTGGTGTTAAGATGATTTTTCCAGGAAAAGGTAGGTATTAGATAAAAGCCGAGAGGAGTAGGAATATAACTCCACTAAAGGTCAAAGAACAGATGGGAATGAATTATCAAGAGAAAATGAATAGAAGAGATGAAAGAGCAAGTTGGATGGGAGGTGAGATAAAGTGGTAAAGGAAACCAGAGAAGTAGATTCTGGAAAGCCTTGATAAATTAGAAATTTAAATTATGAGGGGAAGAGTCGGTATTTGTTGAAATGTTAGTAGGGACCTATGCTTTGTATACACTTAGTGTTTGTGTAATCCTCCCGACAACCTTACAAGGTAAAAAGGTGGATAAAACAAAAGGCATTTTAAATAAAAGGAAACAGACCCTACCTTGCCAAGGCACTGTGTTGTGTGTGTGGAAGGAGGAGAGCTCCAGTCTACATCTATCTGTTGGCCTCCAGTGCCTATGCTGCTTCCACTATCCCAAACTACCAACTACCAAAGGCAATGCAAAGCCATCAAAGAATTTGATCAAGAGAAGAGAGTCTCATATGGAAAGCAGCATAAAACTAAAAGAAGACTAATAAGACTCTGATATTTTAGCATATGTTCAATATCAGAAGATTGATAAGGCAAGAAAAACCACTTAGTTTATTGCATTGGTCAAAATAACAAAGCAATCAGAATCTATACTTGAGTCAAACAATGGAAATATAGAAATTTAAGAGATAATAAAAAACAAAGAAAGAGATCATTGGAAATATTCAAATCGAGGTAATTTTTGCTACCCAGCCACATAATAATAGGGAAAATAGTTCCCCTAAAAATATGTAGAGACAAAGTCCAAAGTCTACCTTGAATACCTTAATATTTTTGACAGCATATGATTTATTTAAAAATAATAAATTCTATGCCTTAGAAAAAAATCTGCATTAGTGCAATATATATCTGAAACCACATCATGAATCAAGACAGGCTTGTGCTAGAATTACTTCTATTATATGAGTTTGGCAATAGCCTATTGCCACATATCCTAAGATAGATGGCAAACCCTTATAGTCATGCTTATTAGATATATTAATTACTAAGGTAACATTATTTTAATTTTTCTTAAATATATATGAACTTAGATATATTAATTACTAAGGTAACATTATTTTAATTTTTCTTAAATATATATGAACTTATTGAATTCTCCCTTAAGGAAATAATGTGTCATATTTGAGAACATTATTCCTCCCTATTACTTCTCTTAAAATGAGATATCATTCAGGGATTCAAGTGAAAAAAACTAATATTGACTGAATACCACAATATTTATCAAGGAGTTGGGTCTCCTGTGACTTTTTCTTACCCCTGAGCAATCCAAAAAATACAATTTCCAAAGGTATATGTCAAATACCCACCAATGTAGCATACGTAAAATATGCACATACATTTTTCAAAAGATTATTCACATAAATATTCAGGTATTTAGTCAACAAGTTTTGTTGGGATACTGGGAATTAAATCCAGAGTGCTTTATTGCTGAGCTACATCCTCAGCCCTTTGTAAATTATTATTATTATTATATTTTTACATTAAGATAGGATTTCACTAAGTTGCGGAGGCGGGCCTGAAATTTACAAATCTCCTGCTCAGGCTCCCAAATAACTTTGATTATAGGTCCCCAGACAACAGAAATCTCTTAAAGTAACTTAATATCAGAAAGTTGCCAAACCTGACAATAACCAGATTAGCTGAGTAAATCTTTGATTAATATCAATTCTTCGATCAATTTGTCTTGATTTTTAATTAATGTCTTAGTAATTATGGATACATAAGTGTATTTATCACATGTAGGTATGATTACGTATATCACATATATCATATATGCATGTATATATATGTGTGTATACGTGTGTGTATATCATATTATAATTAATCAGGAATGGAATGTTTTGACTCAAGAATACTTTTAGGAATTATAAACCTACCCTATTTTACCTAATTCTTTAGCAACACCTAGCAATGCTGAAAGATAATTAAAATTTTACATATTAGCCAAGCCTAATTTCCTTTAAATTCATGGATTAAAAAAAAATATTCATTTCATGAGTTGAAAATTAATGCTTAAGTTTGAAATCAAACTGTGCCACAACCAAATAATTCAGGCTTATAACCAATTTATAGCTAAGATGTCTGAAAGTTTGAAGGTAAACCCATGCAATATTTGCATGTAAAAACTCATTTTAGGGTCCTAAAAAGTGTATTTACTGAGATAGAATCCAGATTATTTTATTTCTTTATGTTTCTTATTTTTGCATAACTTCCCTGGTATGAGACAGGCAACTATGAAATATGCTGAAAGTAACCAAAAATATTACACTGGAATATCAGCTCAGTAATGGCAGACTCTAACATACTCTAAGATTCAAACATTAAGCTATTAGAAATAAATTAATTTGAAAAGTATTCATGTAGAAAGTCTGGGCTTCATATGATTTTTGGCATTCTATAAAAAATATGCTAAATACATAATGTAGGTAGAAAAAAATCACAGATAATGTTTAGTTCATATAAATACTTTCTATTACCTATGATTTTAATACACAGCAATGCAGTCAAATATAAAATATATTAAAATAGGAAATATTATCCTTACCTTTTAAAGGCATTATTTTGTGAGAGTTTTAAAAAGAAAAATATTTTTACCTCCCAGTCCTGGTCTAAGCCGATTATCGTAACCATCCAGAAGTCTGTCTAGAATTCTTGTAAAGATGGTAATGTTATTTTTAGCCTCATCTTCTTGGATGTTAGCCAGCACCAACCTAAACAGATAATTTTACAAGCTGATATATACACATATGTGTGTTTTGCAAGTGCCACCATTCTCTTATTTCTTGATTTGATTTTAAGGCTCCCTAAACTATAAGTGCCACTCATTTTTCTCCTTTTTTTTCACCTTTGTAAATACCAGTATGTCTATAGGGAAGGTGAACATGCTGTTAAAAATGGATACTACATTGTAGCTTGTCAGAAGTTTGATGATAAAACTATTTGAGATTTCTACCACTTAGCATTTTAAATGTTATTCTTACTATTTCCCTAGAATTACAATGTGATAATAGATTATCATTTGCAGACACTATTAGTAATTTATTTCACAGTCACAATAATAATAATCAATGAAGCTCCTGCTATAACTCTTCACTGTTTTGAATATTAATTTGAAAACAAATTGCCTGATTCAAGATACAAAATGTTTCCATCTTTCTCAAAAATATATTTTTCTTTTTATATCTTTTGCTCTTTTAAACCAAGATTGCTTCCTTACTTTGGGTATACCTCCACCCAATGGCCAACTGCAATATAGACATCAGGGAAACTCCTCTGGCTGCGTGCCAGGCTTCACTGTAGCCAGAAGGTGGAGGTGGGCTCTGGAGGCATCAGCAACACACACAGCTGCAGAGACCTGGAGGGCTAGTCCCTCCTGACTGGTCTCAGAAGAGGACTAAGGGACCACATAAAGATTAAAATGCCCAGTTACCTTTTTATGGTGATAAATTTGTAGGAAGAACAAATGATCTTAAAATATCACGAGAAAGGGTTTAGAAACGGTGATTTTCTCCATTATTTGTCCATCATAAAGCCAAAGACCTGATTTTGTGACATCCAGCAATTTGGTGAAGAAGGAACTGAATGTATAAAACAGAATGTCCCTTTTCATTGCCTTTTTTTTTTTTTTTTACTTAGAATGATTCAGAGATTTAAATTACTGGCCCCAAAAAAGAATCATTTATATAATAGAATAAAATACTAGCATGAACATTTCTGGTCAAATATAGAACAGAAAACTAGTAGAGAGAATTTTAGTTAACCACTGAGGCTTTGCAATCATTATTAATTGAGGATAGAGTGTTCATGCCTTAAAAATCAAAGACAATAGATAAATTACCTTCTGATCAAGGTGTATTGTGTAAAATACCATTCAGAGAATGCATTTATATTTAAATGAATACAGAGCTAGTAGGTAAGAATACTCTTAACACATCAAATAATCATAACTAAATTCTAGTAATTATTGCTTTAAGAGTAAATATTTTAAAACTAACATGAAAATAACATTTTACAAATTATGTAAGTAAGTTAGTTCATACATTCTAGCCTCAAAAGTTTCTATGTTGCCTACTTACGCTTATTTTAAAACTAATCCCCAAAATAGTCATCAAGTTTCACCTAGAGATTTTCATTCAAAAGTGTTTTAGTCACATTTCATATTTTCTTTCTAAAGTCAATACTCAGATGTTAAACTAGTAGATATTTTCAAATTACATTGTATTTATCAGTATATATTTTCTTCAAATCTGGAAAATATTTCCACACTTTGACCATTTGGGGGGATGGATATGAAACTTAAAGGGAATTAAATGATACCGTTTTTTTTTTTTTTTTTAAAGCATGGTTACAGGATCATTCTCAGGAAACTTGTATTTTAATTCTTCTGGTATTTGGTAAGTCATATCCTATGATTATAAAAAAAGTCAGAAAAGACTAAAACTAAGATGAAGTTTTTGAAAGCAATAAAAATCAATTTCATGTTTGTTGAGCATAGGCAAACTAAAATTAGTTACACATTTGATATAAGTACTCCTTTTGACAGTAACCATTTGAGTAATAAAAGATCTCTAAATTAATAATTTGCAAAGTTGATTAATAAATCAAGCTTTTTTTTTTATTGTTTGTGATTGTGGAGTTGTATACTACCTCCACCTAGAGGTTTAAGACTCACACATCATTTGGGTTTTCTATGTTGACTAACAGAACCAAGACCATCTTCAAAACAGGAAAGAAAACATTAAGTTACAACTCAAATAATTTAACTGGTACTTTGCTGTCTGGCTTGAAGGAAAACTTGGCTTTTTTTTAATTGAATTTTGTTATTTAAGTGTCTATAATTTAATCATTTTAATTCCTTGTATGAATATGCTATTAAAAGGATATTTTTCAGTGAATTATTTGTATAAAAACGTTTCTTTTCAGTTTTACATTTGATTGCTAAAAACAAGAATCACCAAACTTTTCATACTTTCTGCCACTTTATAGTTAACTTACTGGTACAGTCCCTTTTCATGAGAAATAATTGTTCAAAACACCCTGATTTTCACAAGTCACAGCTGCACTGATGGCATTCAAAAACACACCTTTACCCTGAATTAAAAGTTAAACACAGGAAATATCTCACCTGGCTGGATCCCACACCAAGAAAACAAGTAGCAGGGACTGCATGTTGGAGATATCCAATTTCGCCTTCATCACCTCTCTTTGCCAAGCAATGGAAAATAAAAACAAAATACACTTAAAATTGCCTTCAGTCCCATCACCCAAGTTACCCCAAACAGTGTCATTTCATTTGGGAATTGGAGTTAATGCTATGAAAATTATTCTGTGAACTGAGTACAGAGGGAGGAGAATTTTCTTTTTTCTTCTTTCTTTTCTTTTTTTGGATAGCAAGATGACCAAGTAATCAAATCAATCTTTGCTCTGCCAGGGGGAACTTCCCCAACCCCATCCCCAGCAAATACTGTTTTATCATTGTTTTATGCACACATGAAATAATAACGCCAGGACTCTAAACTGACAGATGAGCTGGAGAAGGGAATAGGTTAGAGGGGAGAGTGGGGAAAAAAGGATAGATGAGTACTTCATGCCACAACCCCTTTAATCAAGACCACCCTCCACAACCACAACGGGAAAAGCAAGGGGCAACCAGCTCACTTTTTCAATTATTATTCTCTTCTTTGCAATGAATTGCCGTCCTCATGTCTTCACTTCCTCCAACATACAATAAAATGATATTAAATCAAATCAAAATTTCTCTCCCTGCCCATCCATGGTTGCCCAAGACCACGTCTTGGAGGCAGCTGGTTGCAGATCAAATGCTGCGAAACGACGCGTTTGACAGCTGCTCTGGAGCAGAGGACCACAATAAGAGAAGAAGCGTGAGGCTCCCTGATCAAACACCAGGCAGGCAGGCAGCAGCTATCACAGTGTGCAAAGTTGGAGACTATAAAAAAGCTAGGCTAAGGTGCTGCCAAGCAGGCTCCAGGGTCTTATTGTAGTTGAAAATGTGTTTCTGATGATCAGTATTAAAATTATTTTTTTAAAGGTTGGAGAGAAGAGGGGCATCTGAGCCTCCTCGGTTTCCAGGGAGCATCCAAGAGTGGAGTAGGGGGAGATGAGACATGCAGGCGAGGCAAAGGCAAATGGTAAAAGGTCCCTAGCGGGGCCAACGTGTGCGACCCTACCTGAAAGAGCAAGGCGAATTCGATGTTTTCCTTCCTTTGCCCCGATCTTGAGAAGAGAGGAAACTTAGAGAGAAAGAAAGAGAGAGAGAGAGAGAGAGAGAGAGAGAGAGAGAGAGAGAGAGAGAGAGAGAGAGAGAGAGAGAGAGAGAGAGACACTGACTCTGACTGCAGCAGCTGAAGGAGCCGGGGAGCAATGGGCTGGTGGAAGCCAAAGGAAGCGCGAGGAGCGGCTGAGGCGGCGCGAGGAGTACAAGGAGGCGAAGGCGTCCGTAGTGGCGGTGATGGGCGGAGGAGGAGGAAGAGGAGGAGGGGGAAGCGATGGCAAGAGCTGGGGAGGGGGGGCGCGGGCGGAGGCGCGTTGCGCGCTGGCGGTGGCGGGCACGAGCCCCGCTCATGGAGGAGGAGGAGCTAGGCTGGGGAGGAGGGCTAACGAGGTTCCAGAGAACGCAGGGACCCCCCCCCCCCCCCAGACACACACACACCCACCCCAATTCCGGGTAACCGACCGCCGCCCTCCCCGCACCTGCAGCGGCACCGCCAGGGCGGCGTCGGGCGCCCGGGGCGCGCCCTGAGCGCCGCTCCCGGTGCCCACGTCGCGCAGGAGGAACGGAGCCCACGCGCCGCCTGGTGCTGCTCCCTGGAGGCCCTGAGACTCTTGGGGGGCTGCTGGTGGGTGTTGGTGCGGAGTCGGAAATGCCTTGTGTCTCTGAGGCCCTAGATTCCCTGGGCTGAGCCCTGCCGCTGGTCCCCCGACATCCTTGGGCTGTGGAGCGACGTGGCTGCCTAGAAGAGGTAAAGAGGTATCGCTCCCGCTGGAGGGCGAGGGGACTGATCACGCCTTTACTTAGTCATCACCGCATCCACGCAGGACCAAGTTCAACGCGTGTTGCGTGGAATCAGGCAGCAGGAAGTTTCTTTGATTTCCTGAGCCCTCTTGATATACTACTCATTCTTGCACACTCTTGCAATCAAGACCAATTTCCCCTCAAAACTCTGAGGGCTTGAGACTTCCCGTGAGCCTGCTAGTAAAGTCCATTTGCAGATTGTACACCTTGGGACAGCTCCTGCTCACTCACTTTCAGCAATCTTTTTTCCTAACCTCTTTTCTCCCTACCAAGTGATGAAATTCAATCAACAGCTCTAAAAAGTTTACATTACCCCTGAGCAAAAAAGGACCTGCTGTGCTTCTACTACCTCAGCAGTTCATTTCCCCAGGGGTTGGGAGGTTTGAGGTTTTCCGTTTTAGGGCTTTTTTGCTGGCAGAGACTTGTAATTCCGTTCCCATCATACACTTTTAGCATTGCGTGTTTTGATCTGCCTGATTTTTCTTCTATTTTATCTGAGGTAATGAAATCCAAACGTGCAACTTGAACAAAAAGAGCAGGAGACAGGTTTTTCCTTTTTGTACTGCACATACACAAAATGTTATGCACATTCTACTAAGGCAAAGTAGATCCAGTGTTTATTTCTTCCAGAAGTTGTTATAAATGTTAGACACTTTTAAAGAAAAGAAGATAGGTATGGTGATATGTTTTTTGTCATTTGACATTCAGAGTCAATATGTGCCAAACACTTCAATTTTGTTAGTATATGCACCAAAAATTCAGATGTTTCTCCTAGATGGTGCAGTTTTCATAACAGGCACTGCTAATCTACAGTAAGATTTTAGCTTTACTTTGAAGATTATGTGAGGAGAGTAAAACCTCTACATTGTAAATATTTCAAGTTGTCCTTTTAACCTACATTAGCTATCACTTTCTGAGCATTTAATATGCTACAACCTAAATAAACATTTGCTCTCTTATTTAGCTGGCTCTGTGAAGAATGGAACACCACCCAGCTTTCTCCTCCATCATTAATATTCCTTTCCTGACTTGCCCATTGCAGAGTCTAATTGAAATTCACAAAGATAAAAAGCATGCCATTTAAAACCTTGCAACCAGGGAATCTAAAAGTCTTATACTTGGCGTGAACACTTCACTTACTACTGTATGTTCCTTTTCCATTTCTCCATTTCTATGAGTCAATCTTTATTAGGAGCTCTATCATTCTTCTTTTTATATTACTGCAAAATTGTTTATATTTTGGTAATGGAAGTTGAGCAGAGCATGGTTTCTTTCCAACCTTCATTGTCATACTCCAACAAAATTTCTTTCATGAATATCACAATTTTGTAAATATTTCATATATTATTTTCATACCTACCACTATGGTCTTTTCCCTGGATATTAATACTGACTTATAGATCTTGTTTTTAATTGCTTTATTTAAAAATTTATAGCTATTGAAATTAGTTGCACTTAAATACCAGCTATTCCCATTAGCACCCTTATTAAATTTGTAATCTTATTGACATATGACCCATTTTTATGGAACATCACAAAAGTTCAACCTGTTCTGAATTATTTTTACCCATTATTTGGGGGAGGGGGGCAATATTATATGTTACAACAGCTCACAGATTGAGATATGCATTTAGTGGGCCTACAGTAAAAACTAGATTAAAAAAAAATCCTGATTTTTGTTTCTTGCCCACAAACTGTTTTGCAATTTTAGTGACATTTGATAGCTGTAATTTAAACTTTAAATCTGATGAAAAGGAATGGAAATTGGAAAATCTGCTGACAGTAGACCTCAAATTTGTAGCTATTATAATTCTGATTATAATACTGATATTTCATTGTCCAGAAAAATTTCTTTGGAAATTCAGAATATTGTCCAAGTTCCCCAAATATCTAACAAGTCCAGCCCAGTCTTCTCAGCATTGATAAAATGCAGTTAACCGCCTGAGATTGGAGAGCCAGCCATGTGGATGGTGACTAAGCCCTTTCTACCCACCCCAATGGGAACACATCCCAAGGCAAACAGTGCTGAAGAAGAACTGGCAACTAATTGATTGCCAGTAAATTCATTCCTACCCAGGTTTGACCAGTGAAGAACCTCCTATTTGAACCTGTTTAAATTATTCTCCCACAAATTGGAATCTGGGTGTCATTTCTCCCATCCCTAACATCCATATCTCTTTAAGAAATTTTGCACATAAGGACCAAGAATAAAAGAAAGCCAAAGAATTAGGAAACTCTTGATTTTGTCTGTCTTTTCTTCCCTTATGTTCTTCATAATATTGTAAAAATTTTTAAATTTCTTACAAAAACTATGTTTTTGAACAGATGTTTCTTAGAGATTCCATTATTAGGGTCCAGCTTGGTACTGCTTCTATAGAGAACTACTACTCTTTCTGCCCTGGGGCTTAATGAGTCATTAAGCTTTCTGATATATATATATATATATATATATATATATATATATATATATATATATATATATGTGTGTGTGTGTGTACAGGAGTTTATACACATATTATTATATATTGTGTGAGACATATGTGTATATAATATGTATATAATGTATATATGTGTTACATATACCTATATACCTATATGTATGTGTACCAATTGATAGCTATCTAGATGAATAAAAATAGCATTGACTATTTGGATTTGATATTGCATGATTTGATTATGGTGATTTTTATATACTTTGAAGAGAAATACCAGACTTACCTCCATAAGACTTGCATTTCACCATATCAATTTTTAAATATTACTATATAATAAATTTTATATATTTAAGTACATACACTCTTGTGTGATTTATTCATTCAAATGAGGATATGGGTTTGTGAAAAGTTGGGAACTGAAGTACAGATTATTCAGTTTTCACAAGATGAAATACTGTCTTATACTTTCCTTCCTGCATGTCTTACTAACTTCAAAATATGTTTGGATGATAATTCTGTTCACACATATTTACCACATTACAAAAAGTCAAAACCAAAAAACAAACAAAACAAAAAAACTGGAACAAAGAACTATTTGGCAATTTTCAAGTCAAAATTGTTGCTAGATCAAGCTTCTTTTTTTCCTACAAGCTGAAATTACATGGATAGGTAGGCTCCCAGATTTTGAAAGAAAAACAGCTGGAAGGTGGGAGTAACTAGTCTTATAAACAAATAATCCCCAAACTACTCTCTACATTAATGTATCTAGGTCACATTTCATTAGAGCTAAATATATCATGTATACTAGCTTGAATAAGCTGTGCACATTACCTTCTTCAAATTGAGTTAGTAACTCTGTTTTAAAAGTAATTTTACAAATTATTATCTAACCTGCAAATCAAGAATATCAAGCATTCAGGCTATCTTGGTGATTTCTGATATTTTAAAACTATTTGTACTGTCATACAAAAACAGAGTAGTAAGGAGTTTCTTTTTATCTCCTTTTGTGAAATTAGAATTTCTTTACAGGTAATTCAATCATATCCTAAAACAAAAGGTAAAACTCCAGTGATTCAAACTAAATACCCCTATAGAAAAATATACTGTATATTTTGTTGAAGGATAAGTTGCCACATGGTCAGCAGCTTTTGCCTGAGATATGTCCTCTAAGAAGTAATCATAGTCGTGAAAGTAATAATCATATGATTACAATTTCTTCATTTGTAAAACAGTTTAGATTTAATTTTAAATACTCTGTGTACATTAACTCATTTAATGTTCAAAAATAAGAGACTGCTACCCTTCCCATTTCACTGATGAGAAAATTTGGGCACAGAAAGATCATGGTCTTTCATTGGTGGAATCAGGTAGAGCAAAACAATATGACCCCAGAGTTTCCCTTCTTAACTACTATACTGCTTATAATAACACCTCATGATGCATAATTATGCAGAAGTAGCCAGCAACAATAATAGCACCAAAGTCAAGGGATGGGAGACCTGGACCTAACCCGAGTCTGTTTTCAAACATTGCAAGTAGAATAAGGTTGACTTCAAACAAAGGAATGTTCTTGTGTCATTATTTACATCATCAAAATCTTCTGTCTTGAGAGAAAGAGAGGGTGAATGTATGAAAAATAAATAAGTGAAAAGCAATCAAGCTATGAGTATTTCATGGTCAGTCAGAGACGTGAAAGAGAAAATAGAAACCAATTATTTTTAAGATAAAGTGAATAATGCCATGCCAAATTAATTATGGATTGCCAATGATTTTAAATATAGATCATTTCTCCTTGGTAGAGACTCTTTGTATTTGCCAGAGTGGCTTGCTCATAAATACTCAATAAATAATTGCCGATCTTTGTAGAGTTAAGTACTTTGGAATAAAAATTGGGAGACGCAGTTCCACCATTAAAAATGGCATGACCTACAGCAATGTCAGCTAC